CGCTTTGTTTGTTGATCTTTTTTGCAAACTAATAAGCTAAATATTTTGATTGGACCCGTTGCTGCAAAATCCAGAGAAACAACGCAGAGAATCGCTAAATTTGCACGCTCACAGACACATGATTAAATTTGGCGTTGTCTTTCGGTTTCGAGGAAGTTTCTCTGATTTGTGGACTCTCTCGGATGATTGGCAAATTACTTAAATTTAAGACCCACAGTCAAGGCTATATTTAATGCCTCTATCTGTTGTTTGTGGCATTTTATTTTCGTCTGATAAGACGCGTCGTTTCTATTTCTGCGCTACTGGTGCCTGGACAAACACAATTTGTCTAACCGGAATTTCGACTGCTTCCGCTGGATAAGTCGGGTTCCATTGACTCCAAGCAGCGAAGCACCCGAAACACTTGCCTCCTCCTCGATTAGCCAAATTCCACAGACTCGCCAAAAGCAAAAAAGCGAATAAAACAAAAAAAAAAAAAAAAAAAAACAACGAAAAAAGCTAGAGACAGCTTCATAATAAATAAGCTTAAATGCGAACAACCTGCTGGCAATTGTTTATGGCCCAAGTCCAAGAAACTCGAAAGCCCAAGACTTTTGGAGCGAGTAAGAGGCGGCGATGGAGAAATTTCACTTGCCAGAAAGGAAGGCAAGAGCAAGTTTCAAGGTTGCCGGCTATAAGATAGCTCACGATCTCCGCAGATCCAAGATATAATGGCACTCAGGTGGGGCCCGATTCGCTCTGGGATCGAAACACAATGGCAGCCATAGGTGAGCGTAAATCAAAAACATATAATAATAGTGCGAAAAAATGTCAGGTTCAAAGTTTTAACACAAAGCTAGATTGGCAAACAAATTTTTGAGTGATTTGTCCATTTCAATTCTTTTTATCAGAGATTAGAAATTATTCAGAAGAATTTCCTAAGATTACTCCTTGTAAAAATTATTGTAAAACTGGTATTAAATAAAAAGATCAAGTCTCTAAAAATATCATTAAAAACCTCGAATTTTCTCACCACCTAGTATAAACCTAGAAATTCTCGACTAGAATTACTACAAACTTATTCATGACGTACAAATAAACAATCTTGCACTTTGAACTTTAGCCAGAAGTGATCACTAATCACAAGGCAACAAAGTAACAACTAAAATTCCACAACGTTCCCATGAAAATAAATAATTTCGCTCACAAACTTTTTGTGTGGGCACATTTCCTGCGTTATTTATTGTTGTGCCAGGGTAACGCTGGTGATAAGCTTCTTCTGGGCAGATTTTGTTGTTTTTTTTTTTTTTTTTTTTTTTGGCCACATGCAACCAAAAGGCGACTCTGACTTACAAAATACTAAAATAAAAATCAGAAAAAAAGAAAGCAAACTGCGAGTGCGAGTACAAAATACAAAATACAAGACAAGAAGAAAACCAGTTCCAGAGCAAGTTTACTTGTGTTGTTGCGGTGGCGGCTGGGCTCTTATAGCCTTGAATGTGCATTTCACGTTGTCGCTGGTTTTCAGTTTTCGGTTTTTGGCGCGCGCTCAGGAAAACATATAAAAAACTGGTTAAAGCCAGCCAACCAGAGTTGGCCAACATTTTCCCAAAGTTCCCCGAAGACAAAAACAAAAAACCACAAAGTGATAGACAAGTGAAATGAGCAGCCAAAGAGAGCGAAAAATTCTCTAGTCTCTAGTTCTCTAGCGGTTTTTTTTTTTTTTTTGCACACAACTTACGGTTATTTTCTAATTACTTTCCACGTGATTTGCATGCACTGAAAAATACTTTTAATTTATATCTATATCTGAGGGTTTCTTTGTAGTTAAAAAACAATCATTATTTGACATAGATCGTTATTGCCTATCTCATAGTATTTTATGAGGATATATTGTCAATTTTTTTGCTTTAATTATTTGTATACTTTAATGCACTTAAAGTAAATGTCAGAACCAAAATAACTTTGATTATGATAACTTATCATTGATAAGATAAAGACATCATTATAGTATAGTATGCCATGATATATTCACCTTTTCTTTAATATAAATTATTTCTTATCATATTATTGTAATATTTAAATAACTAAAATGTAAAATGTAAATTTTAAATAACGTTTTGTTTGATTTCTTGTGGTTTCAGGGTAAAGGGCAAAACAAGATGAGATTATCTGAATCTATAATAGTAATCAGTCAATAATTAATTAGACCACTTGAAATAAATAAAATAAATTCCTTAACAAAAAAAAAAAAACGTTGGGATTATCATTAAACCCATCATTCAAACTGATCGTGTCAGGCGGCATTTTGTTGCCAATGGGGGTTCTCCTCCGATCGTTCGTCTTATCAATTTGGCAAGTGACATACGTTATTTTTAATGTTTTCTGAATAGATTATTCACAATCAATGATGTTGGACTTGCACCCACAGATAAGCGCAAAATGGGTTAAGCAATATTTAATAATATTGCATGTAATTGACAATGTCAACGGAAACAGATCGGAACAAGGCGGTCCGGTCGTATATAGCGGAGCAGTCTGAAGAACCAAGTCCGAGTTCAGCAAGTCAATTGCCATTAAACTGGGACGAACGGCCTTTCATTTAATTAGGGGTAATTGCAACTCCCCTCAGAGCTTGCACTTGAGCAATTACAGCAATTAGGCTATTGTTTTATCTTTATGATTCAGTCCCTTTGATTTTATATCCACTCGAAAATGATCGAGAAATTGGGAAACGAGTAAAAATGTACACTACGAATTTTTTAAGATTAGATAGATTTATGTATAAACTTAATAAATATTTAAAAATGATCAAGACATTGAGAACATAATGAAACCCATGTTTAAGTCATTTTACTCCACATTTGATTGATTGCCATATGTTTTAGAGTACATTTACTGGTTTTTACTATAAAATAACATTATAAAATGCAACCGAAAATTTTCCGAATGCTCCAATTTCACTCAAAATTCTTTATGGAAAGTTCAAGCTAATAAAGTTCGACTGTAAATGCTTCATAAATGCTGACACAGCGATAACACTACTACATTTCGGGTTAAAAAATCACAAAAAAGTTGTTCTAAATTCGCTTTTTTTTTATGGCTTTGATTGATGGGCAGGCGGTGCGGTGTGTTCCGAAAATAAAGCCGTGATTGATTGGCTCTTTGGCTGATTTTGAATGGGATTATATGCACAGTTTACACTGACCAACAAAAAGGGAAAGGGAACTTGAAAATCAAATAAAAAGTACAGCGCACAAATTGCGCAAAATACCAAAGAACGAACGCCACACCAGCTCCAATCAGACGGCAACAGCTCCAGTACGAGCCAGCTGCAGTGCAGACATCTAATTGCCTTGAAAGGGTGAAACAGCAACAACAAAGCGCCGAGTTATAAACATAAGCGCATGTGCATTTGTATATTTTGTATACTTTGTGTGTATTTTGTGTGCGGGGGAATGTACATAAAAAAATTCAAAAATGGACCAACTGGGTCTCCCCTCTCTCCCAATAGGATTTGTATTTCGCCTGCAGTTTTGCAGTCACTGGACGAGTGTTTGTTGCCGTTCTTGCACTTTTCCTGCCGCGATCGGCATCTGTTTACACTTGCACGGACAATTGGGGTCAATATACTAGGACCTTATTTTATAAAATTGCTTTAAAAAAATATAAACTGATTTGTAATTGTAATAGATTTATCAGATTTATGGGTTACTTTTATAAACAACCATTGAAAACCAAAACACAATTTTTTATTAGTCTTTAAATAGTAAATATTAATGTAGAATTCAATAATTTGTGCTTCCCTTACAATATATGTATGTTATATTCAAATCAATTTAATACAATTAAAAGTGTGATTATCGAAATGAACACAATTGTAGGCGAGATGCCGCATTGGGGGCGTTGGCATCGCCCCTCCTTTTACATCTCTCTCCACCTCCTCTACCGTTTGCACTCTTTTCTCCTTTCTCTCAACTTGGCCTTGTTGCACTTCTTGCTGTTGCTGCTGGCCTCTTGGCTGACCCGTTAAGTGTAATTGAATTTAAATGGCAATTGTCTTGACGAATGCAATAAATGCATTTTGCATTGTGCAAATCACATTGACGGTTAGTGGCTCTCAAACTGCAGCTTAACGGTGCTGCAGAATGCCTAATGAACGAGGGGGACGACGAACGGCAGAGCGAGACAGCAACTGCCCAGGCGGAATGCGGTTTAAAAATAAACCAAGCCCAGAGCGAGACAGCGAGACTGCCAGAGTAAGAGAAAAGGGGGGCGAGTGCGAGAGGGACAAGCGAAGCCAAAACGTGCTTTGGCTTAGACCCTATTTAGCCTAGTTTAGCAGAAATACTACAGGCACTGGCCAACAACTGACGAAGAGAGTCTGGCTCAGAGACACCTGTGTTGTGCCGAAAGAGAGAGAGGGTCTTCCCCCCCTCGTTATGCTAATTTACAACCCAACTACAGGCGTAATTCCGTAATGAAAACTACTAAGTGAAGCTATTTTAAAAATAGTTTAAAATCATAATTGTCTTGGAATTTGTTATTTTAGAATTATTATAGTTTAACATAAGCCAACAATTAATGTTGTGTTTCTGGCTTTTTCATAGTTTTCAATCTGTTCTATGAAAGTTAGTTCCTACTACCCCCCAAAACTAGTTTCCACCTAGGCGAGGTAGACTGTATAACTTGTATGGTGGACCGACTTGACTGTCTGCCTTTATCTGACAGGTTGGCAATTTTACGACCTGTTCGCACGCAACTAGGAACCTACAGGGTGAGGATCTTCCCGATCGGGAAAGGGAAGACCCTTCTTTTTCCGCATACAGTTTTACAGATTCGGAAACCCTAGCGATTATGCAACACCTTGCACCTCTAGCCGGGCTTTTATTATTATTGGCTTACATGTGGAGCATCGGACCGTAAAACGTCCGCAATTCTGTTTTACGATCTTTTCCACACGCCATTCCCATTCCCGCTTCTAGGTTCAGTTATTGTACAATTCCGGTTTTGGGACTCACCTTTGACAGCCTCGTAGTATCCCAAATCCAGCGTGAATGATTTACGTTGATGTCCTGGCACTAACAAAAATATATATCTAGAATATCCCCAGCCTGGATTACGGCGGCGGCTTCTTCTTCTTCGGCTTTAGCTGCTGCAATTAACATAAATTCCCGTATTTATTTGTTTTTCGTTTACAATTTTCACTACGATCTCTCCTTCTCGACTCCTCCTTCTCGTTTTTCTTCGCGGCACACACACGCACTCGCACACAAACAAGCGAAAGATGCAGGGAGACGCGTAAAACCACGAAGATGGATATAAAAAATGAACCAACGCGAACACGAGGATGAGGAGGAATAGAAACGGAGAGGAGCAGTAGTCGAAGGGGGGTATGGAGCGGGATCAGTAAAACCGGAAAGTTGTTTTTGTTGCTCTGCCATAAGCGGCGTTCTTGTTGTTGTCTCTCTTTTGGTTTTTTTAGGAAAAGAAAACGCCGAAAAAAGTGTTAAAAACCCACGAAAATCTCCGCAGCTTGGGAAGAATACGGCTTCGGATTCGGATTCTGTTTTAATTTATGCCAAAGAATTTTTGTCACTTGTTTGGCTGACCTTAATAACAAATTCCAATGCACACACGCACACAAACACACAGCACGCAAAAACCAGCTTTTCGTTTTCCTCTTACATGGTCGTTTTTTGTTTTTTTGGGATCAGTAATTAGAAAGAGCCGGCGCAGCAGCAACAGGGTTTTCTAATTAGACCAACTAAGCAACAACAACAAGAGCGACTTAAAAGAGAGCAAATAAGAGGGAGAAAAAGAGAGCTGATTACGTTTTACTCAATGGCTCGGTTGATTCTTTCTTGTTTTTGCACGGCGTTTTATATATTTGTTGTTAGCGGTTTGGCGATTCAACTGGTTTGGTATTGTTTAGTCCGCGCGCACGTCTTGTCAATTCGCCGTTTTTTTTTAGAATGAGCGCAAAGCAAACGGGGAAGAATACACTTTCAAAACGGCCAGTGTGACCAGCGGCGGTCTTGAAGATCGCCCAGTAGCACCAGCGTGACTCACGAGGTAAAACTCTGGTCACTTTGAAAGAGGCGCTATTTTTAAATGGAGCTTGTGTTTAATTGGTTGGTGATCACCAAAATGTATATCAATTAGCTTTGTTTCTATTCTATTCACAATTTTAATATATATAATTTTTAAATTTTTTAAGGGGTTACATCGTTAAAGTTGTCGGAAATTGGCTAAAATTTTATTTTTCCAAATGTGTAAACTCGAATGCCGGTTTGTTAAGGTAATAAAAGAGCTTTCCGAACTAAATGTAGCTCACTTAAATATGAAAATTAAATATTTTTTAAAAATATGAATGTGTATATGTGTATATACCAAAAGTGGGCGGGTATGGTATATACTGACTGCAAGGTGTCATCTCTAATTCTCATCCTCTTCTTCTTCTTCGTGTTCTTGAAACAAAAGCCGAAACTGAAACAAAAACATGAAGAGTTTTTTGGTTTTCCTGCTGTTTGCCTTCATCCTTTGTGGCCAGTGCAACCTGTTGCTGGCGAAGTCCTGCAAGACGCTGCTAGGCGAATTGGGCGACGGGCAGATGTATTTTATCTACTGTGCCACAACAAAGTCGGTGCCCGTTAAAATTTGCGTTGGATGCGACTTGGAGTACCACAACCTCGTCGGCCTTTATAACAATCTCATGGCGAACGAGAACTGTTCCAAGCTGTATCTAGACTCGGACAGGATCAACATTGTGCCCACCACGCAGGGCATCCTCACGAATCTCTGGGAAAAGGCCAACTGCGATGGTTCGTATTTTATTCAGGGGATTCCCAAAAATCTTAGCGTTTCCGTCCCCCAACAGATTGCAAAAGGGCTAATAATTCATACAATTACGACCATTACTCCACAATTTTTGATGGCTGCTTGGCCCGTAACAAGGACGACGTTTGCAATGCCTGCAAGGTGGACTATCTGAATTTGAACACCTTTTACAAGGACATGGAGAAGGCGAGCAAGGGCCAAGTGTGCTTCGATCTGCAGGATAATGTGGGTATTTTAAGCTTTCAACGGCTGAGTTATGAACCACTTTGATGGCTTTCCAGATGAACCGCACCCGCCTCAACTGGTCTAAAACCCTGAAATGCTGCCAGCGAGAAAGCAAGCTGAATAACTTTCTCATCGCCGTGGCCGTGGTTGTCCTGCTGCCCATTGTCACCTTCTATGTCACAGCAATTGTTGTGACCAAGCGCCGGGAAGCCAACCATGGTTTGCTCAACGAGCAGGGTAAGCAAGGAAACCCTTATTCAATCGAAACAGTAATTACTACGTAATCCTGTTGTAGAACCCGAGTTGGATGCTCCTTCCACTACCACGATTATAAGCGCTGCTGTACTGTCCACTCGCAGTGCCGAACCCGCTGAAGTCTCGGCCACTACGGAGAAGATAGCCAATGTGCTGAATCAAGCCAGTGCTGAGCTTTCGGATGATTCCAGCAACGACGAGAGACCCAATTTGAGGCAAAAGCAAGCAGCTCATCCCAACTTGGAATTGGATTCCAGCAGCAGCGATGAAGAGCCATTGAGACAGAAAGTGTTACGCAAAGCGGCTGCTAATCCGCAATCGGATAGCTCCAGTGATGATGAGCCCCTGGTGAAACCGAAAAGAGCTTAGGGGAACCAAAGAAAGGCACTCGATGGTAAGATGAAAGCAACAGTAAAAGCTTGCCTTTTACTCTTATTTTTCACATTTAAGCTGCTCATGACTATATCTAAGGAAAAACTCAAGTTGATATATTTTTCTATATAGAAATGCATAAGCCATATAATATGTACATATGTGATAACACAATAAAGTACCAAACATTTTATATATTTATAAGCAGGAGCAGTTTGCACCTTAAATACCAAACTCCTTTCATTTTTATGTAGCATTTTGTATGCCCTTTATTTATTGGCAAGTTGCATTTGCTCTTAAAGCTAATTATTTGCGAAAGAAGATCAGGGTCATCATCAACATGGCAAGGGCCCTTCCACCGGTCTTAGGGTTCTAGCTTAAAATCTACGCTCTTAATTATATTATTAATTAGATAACAAATTAACAATGAAAATGCATTGGCCGTAATCCGTTCCGTTTATCCATAGGGAGCATAGAGGTTGCCATGGGTGGAGCTGGTCTGGTAGTGGACCAAACTCCCGTGGGTCTGCTGGGCCGGCTGGTAGTAGGCCTGATGATACAACGAAGGTGGCGCCGGCTCGTTCACTTGGATTTGGTGGTAATTGGTGATCGGTTCATGTTCCACCACCTCGCGCACCGTCTGGAACGGATGATTCACCACAATTCGTCGTTTGTGGAAGGTCTCGCTGGTGGCTGCCGCATCGGTAGGCGCTGCCGTGGCGGCTATCACCCGCTCATTGGGCTTCAGATGTCCAGCTCCGCCGTTCACGGTCACATCCACGTCCACCGGTTGGGCCTTCGACTGCGAGGGCGTGGCCTGAGTGGCAGAAACCTCGGAGTTGGGTGCTTCAACCAAGCGTTGGGATTTCTGTTCTCGCAACTCTCCTGATCTCTGCTGCTGCTGCTGTCCCCTGTCGCAGTCCGGGGCAATGGTGGAGGAAACAACTAGGGGCTTCTGTGCTTCGTTGGCTATTTGGATTTGGATGTGAGTGTTCGCCGGCGACTCCTCCTTTTTAAGCTCCTCCCTGGGCGCCTCTTTGGGTGCCTCGACCAACCTGGAGGACTTGCTGTCAGGACTGAATCTCATCTGGGAGTATGGAGCACTGTAGTCCAGCTCTTCGGCAACTCTCTGTCTCGAGGGCTGACTGTAATAGGTCCTGGGTGCTGGGGTCTTGGCATAGACCACCGTAGGTCCCACATGATTGCGCAGATAAGGCTTGATCTCGGTCACCTGGGCAGGCACCTCCTGAATGCGTCTCTCCTTGAGCGGAGTCTGGCGACTGCGTCCTAGGTAGATGTTGTGCTGGGACGGCGGCAGATGGATCTTGTGCTCATGCTTAATGATCTGCGTGGGTCGCTCCTCCTCCTCAGCCTCGGCCAGCTCCAACCTCGCGGGCTTGGCGTCCACACTGCCGGCATTCACATTGGGCAGGTACTCGCCGGAGAAGTAGTCATCGTCCTCGGCATACTGCTGACGATTGAAGTTTTTGTTTCTCGGCTGATAGACCCTTTGCCCACGAGGATACTGCTCCTGCTCCTGTTCCGGCCGCTGGATCATGTTGGGTGTGAGGTGCTTGGCGTTGATCTTCAATGGATTTCCGCTGGCATCCACGGCGGAGACAGAGACGGAGGAGGAGCCGGAGGAACCGCGGCCATCGGTAACATCTCCCAGGGGCTGCGGTTGCAGCAAACGCGACTCCACATACTCGTCCTTGGGCGCTTGATCGTAGGACGGCATGGTGGTCACACTGGAACCCACTGTGGTGGCCTGCTGTTCCTTGCCAGCTGGGGCTGCATCGTAAGAGGGCCTGTACTCCTGACCACCGTTGTTGTTGTAGCTCTGAGTCTGAACCTGGCCAGTGTTGTAGGCGGCAGCCACCGCGGGATGGGGATGTCCTAGGGGAAGCAGGGTCTCTCCCTTGGGAATTTTGGCCACAGGGTGCTCCAGCTCCACCACCAGAGTGCCCGCCGGCTTAATCACCACCCGCTCTTCGATGTCATAGAACTCCTTCTGGATGGCCGGATGACGAACCTCGTACTTTTTGGCCTTCAGAGCGGGCTGCACAATCTGGATGGTTTTCGTCACCAGTGGACGTTGCGGCGGCGTGTAGCTCCTTGGAGGAGCCGGTGGCAGGTAGCCCGAGCCTCCTTGGTAGCCCGACTGCTCGCCGTAGTCTTCGTAGCCCTGGCCATCGTCCACCTCTGGTGGATACGACTCCTGGTAGTCCACCTCTGGGGCATCCTCGTATCCATAACCACTCTGATCGTAGCTGGGACGATTGTAGCTGGTGGCAGGATTGAAACCCACCGAGGAATCGTATCCTGAAGCCGGTTCAGCAGGAAGAGAAGGCGCCGCGGCAGCAGGAACAGAACTCGATGAAGACGATGAGGAGGAAGAGGAGGCAGAGGAGGAGCTGCTACCGCCCGAAGAAGATGAACTGACGCTCACAGCTGGCGCTTGCACGGGAGCCTGGGCTGGCTCATAGATGGGTTTGCTATCGGGAGCCACCTCCACGTTGGCACTCTGACCCTGAGTGGAAACGGGAGCAGCGACCTGGCGTTCAAACATGCGCAGCTGCTGGGATCGGTGACCGCCTCCAATGGAGACTAACTTCTGTGGAGCAGCTTCCACATCCACAGTGGAAGTCACGCCCGAGCTGGACTGTGTGTAGCGTTGCGGTGCGGGATTCGAGGATTCGTAGACCTGAAAATAGTGGATAACTCAGTACTTTACCTTATCTTAGGTCTAAGATGGCAGACTCACCGTCTCCACAGTGGGTCCATGGCTATGGTAGGACTGGATGTAGCGCTCGAACTCCTGATTCTGGCGCAGCTGTTGGTTGCGCTGTCGGAACTGACCGCTGTGAGGACTTGCTTGCGGCGGCTGCTGGTGGAGCGAGGGACGGCGGTTGTGGTTCCGGCGACGAGGCAGTCGTCCGTTCTTGGACATCGGCGGCTGACCCTGAACCGGGGGCTGCAGACCCAATCCTTGGCGTGGCGAGAGCTGCTGAGGTTGTTGCGGTTGCTGCTGCTGCTGTTGCTGTTGCTGATTTAGAGTCATTTGCTGTTGCTGTTGGGACTGGAGCTGCTGCTGCTGTCGCTCCTTGATGCGCTGAAACTGCTGATCCTCATCCCGCTGCGGACCCGCTCTCAGTTCCGCCGGAGCACGGCCACCTTCCACGTAGTTAACATCCGCCGGATTAGTGGCCGGCTGCTGGGCAATCGAGATGTTCACATGGGTGGCGCCATTAGCCTGACTACAGGCCACCAGCAGGACCACCAGCAGTCCTCGCATCATCCTGATTCAGATCCTGTTATTCTCCAAGTCCAAGTCCAATCACTGCTGACAACCACCAACACCGAAGCTCACTGCTGTCTGATCAATCGGCGGATTGTGCCCCGCATATTTATACGGATTTTCAGGTGGAATTGCGGGAGCGATCGCGATCGCGATCAGTGTCAAAGTCAACGGCAGCAGCCATAGGAATAGCAATAGCCACAATAGACACCGCACTGGTGACCTGGCCCAAACTGTTTAGGGATGAGTCTCTCAGATGCTTGCCCCAGTTGTACAATTAAAGGCATTCGACCTGGCGACGGAGCGATCGCATTTGATCGATGATGCATTCAACAAATTGCTGTCATCGCTTCACACTTGTGTGGCACGCACCAACAGTGGGAGAAAAATGGGGTTTCAAAAATACAGAGAATTTATAATATAAGTTATATGAAATCTTAATAAATAATCTTAATAAAATAAAGCCTATTTTGATTCAAACTCTAATTGAAATAAATAAGTTTGATTATTGAAAGAATGTCCTTGAAGGCTTTTGGGATTGATTATTGTTCCTTTAAGAGGTTTTTTACTGTATTTTCCTTTACTAAACAAAAATTTAAAAAGGGAATAGAATAAATTAAACCTTTTTAACTAGGTTTAGTTCAGGGAATCTACTTATACGTTTCCTTAAGAGGGTTTTCCCTGGATTTTATTTTAATTAAAAAATGTAAAAATATGGAAATAAAATATTTTTAAGGCCTTTTACCCAGTTCTAGTTCGAAGAATCTAGAATTCTAGAATCACAGAATTTAGATTCACATATTTTTCTGCGACTGATACAAATAGCAACTCCGAATTTCGTTAGCATCCCGTAATTGGGCAGTGCAGCATTTTCATGTAATTGTCGGAAGGTCAGAGTTGCGCCGATCTCGTTTGAACTTGAAATCCGAGCCCGAGAGACGTTGAACCGCTTGAACTTAAGCGGCAGGAGGAGCTCGAGATATTGGCCCCCCCGAATGGAAATCACTTTTTTGGGGGTGCTGCTGCTGCTGGTCAGGCAAATTTGCGCAATCGAAGTTATTTTGGCGAAGACCAGTGACTGCTCGGATTCGGTAAGGTTAATGTGAAGTATTTACGTTTTACGTTTACGGGCTTGTGCAGATTTGCAACTTTACCATGGCTAAAATCAAAGTCAAGTGTGGCTTAAAATACCAAGTAGGAAAGGGAGAAAGTGCAACTGGAGGTATTTGTTTCCATTATCAAGCAAGGTTGGTATAAATTAAGGCATATATGGCTTGGAAAGGTGACAAAACTAATTGATCGAGGTCCCTAGTTTGTGTTTATTAATTTTAAATAAATATTTTTTTCAAATCAGAAGCCTTACAATTGGAAATCATCATCGAGACAGATCCAGTTTATTCGCTCTGACAGCCCCCAAAATTGTAGAATCATTAAAAACAAAACAAAACAAATAACTGAGGCTCAGCAAAATGAGAGGATGCCTACTGGCAGTCGCTATGAAGGCGGGCAAGCGATTACAAGCGTGCCAGGTGAGTCCGTAATCCAAAGACGTGCCCTGTTTCCCCAAAAGTGTTGTATGTGTGTGTGGGATAAATAGGCGTTTATTGTTATCTTTTGTGGGGGTGTGGGAGTCAAAAACCAGTAAATAGAGTAGACAATAGTATACAATATAACATGCGGTGCATGTGGTCAGCCCACAACAGTATTACTGGGTGAACTGGCTTGTTGGTTACAAGCTACAAGCTACGCGATAAACACAGTCTCAGGCATAATAAGACAGCTTAACAAGCTAATGAGGGCCTACAGTAGCTTCTCAATGTCCTTGGCTATGTCCATAGGGTCGGTGGTTGGGGCATAGCGGTTAACGGGAATTCCCTCCTTGTTCACCAGGAACTTGGTGAAGTTCCACTTGATCCCACTGCCCAGGGTACCGGTCTGCTTGGCCTTCAGATACTTGTACAACGGGGCGGCACTATCGCCATTCACATCGACCTGGAAGATAAGCCCAGTCATAAAATGCCATCGGTATGCCATTAGTAAGAATTAGTTTATATACCTTGGCGAAGACTTCACCGATGTCGGCCTTGGAGTCACGCAAATGGCACACCATAGCCTCGCCATCGGCCTCCGGCATCTGGGATCCAAACTGATTGCAGGGGAAGTTGAGGATGACCAAACCGGATTCACCGTACTTCTCCTTCAGATCAGTGAGCTTCTGGTAATTGTTCTTGGTCAGGCCGCACTTGGAGGCAATGTTGACCACCAGCAACACCTTGCCCTTGTACTTGTCCAGGGAGATATCGTTGCCATGGGTATCCTTCACGGTGAACTCGTAGATCGAGGCGGCGTTCTTGTAATCGTTGTTAGCAGACATGTCGATCTGAAAGCCAGGGCAAAACGAGAGGGTATAGTAGGCGTTATAAGATAGTGGATATCAAAGTAGGACTCAACCTCTACGGAATATACAATATAGTAAAGCACAAAGAACATAGGGCATAGGCAGTCACAATAAAGTTTAGTTTGGCATAAAGACAAGGCAACTGAGTTAGTCAACGTTTAAAGAGCAACTTCAACATCTACTCGCACTACTCACGGCTGCTGCTGTGGAGTACGAGGCGGCAGACGTGGCGGATGCGGGTGCGATACTGGCCGCACAGCTGACGGGCAGCAGGACGGAGCAGAAACGCAGGCTCTGCCTTTGGCCCTGACTCAACTTGAGGGCGGTGGGTGTGAAGGAGGAGCGCCTGCTTGAATAGCCCCTGAAGGCCTGGCGGGTAATGGTCTGAAATTGCCTGAGACTCATACTTCAACAGCTGCAAAATAACCGGGATGGTGGGATTACTTTGAAGTTTACGTTGACATTCAATGGCAAGGATAGTTTGTGCAAGTCCAAATAAATTATTTATATGTATGTATTTTGATAACTAAACAAGTGGTTTTTAAAATTTTGAAAAGTAATTTTGAGTTGTTTTTAGTGTGGTATTTAAAATGTTGCGAGGTACGAAAAACCTGATGAAATTATGGTCATAAGAAATGTTGTTTTTTTTTAGCCTATATAATAATAGAACTCGATCTCCTTGTCAGTTTAAGAACGCGCTTTAAAAAATTAAGAAATATTTTAATATTATTTCAGTCTTAGAATCTTTTAAATGTGCTTTTTATTTTAAACTTTTAATAGAGAAATATAAATACGAAAGGTAAACCAGAAAACTTGAAGAATAAGGACGGAAATAGGCCTGTATTTTTGTAAATTTTAAAAATTCCCAAAATGTATTTTGAGTCATTTAAATAGAATTAAGTAATTAAATCCCATCTGCAAGTCATCCTTGGCGCGAACTTGACCTTTAACCAGATTGACGGAGATGCATAATTAATCAGGGTCAAATTCAAAGTCGGGGGCTACTTTCCGGTGAGTCACGCCACAATGTCTGGTCAGGATTGGCCCACGTCCGCGACCGCGTAACAGGGGGTGCCTGATTACCGCCGCCCGCTCATTACGCATGCAAGCCATTTGATTCGAGAGTTGATAGAGCAAATTAGAGGAGGCGGAGGAGCTTATTGTTCTGGAAAGGGTAATTACTTGCATGGTGAGGTAGACGTACGAGCCCAAGGCAATGGCCAGGGAGCCGAACAGAAAGTGCGCGATGGATCGGCCGGCCATATTCTACTATATATCCCCGATTTCACCACGGAATATGCACGGATACAAATAGAATGGCAGATTCTTGCAAGCTCACGCTGATGGGCAGATATGTATGCACAAAAAATTGGGAGCAAAGTACAATTCCGAAACTGATTGTTTTCCCTTTTCCTTTATGCCCTCGCTTGACAGCTGTTCGCCAAGTGTGACTCGGCAGCAGATATGCTTTATCTAGGCAAAACACTTGTGATTCCTATTGTCTGGGGCTTACTTATGTCGTAATCGTAAACGCACAATTTAATAATATTGCTTTTGAAGAGTAAATAAAATGTGACCGGCGAGTGAGAATTTTTTCTTTTTTATATCAATATTTAAAAGTGATGGTACTTTTTCTGAGCAAAAAGCTCGATTACAAAAAGCTAAGAAAAAAGCTGATTTTTAAGAAATAGTATTTTCTGTGGTTTTTTTTTAAATTCTAAGTATAAAATATTAAACATAACAGCACGACCAATAAAATAAAAACTGATTAAAATTGACAAATAAGTTTTATTTTCAATTTTAAATTATGACGAATAAAATAAAAGTTAAATTGCCTGAGCGGCTTATTGAAAAGATTGGCATATAAGTGAGTCCAAAGGAGATTTTTTTTACTTTTGTATATTTTTTAATCGAAAACCTTCAAAGAAGGGTTCCCAATTTAGTGTCAAATTATTTTAAGATTTTGTTACAAAATTCAAAAAAATTAGTACGTTTTTCTAGACGCACTCTAAATTTGAATATAAAATGCTTTACCTATACCTATTTTTTTTTGAAAAATCGGCAATGAAATATTTAATTTTAAAAAATCAGCTTTAATTTTTTTTAATTCTAACTTTTTTTATATATTTTTTAGTTTCTATTTATAATTAGTATTTATATAATTAATATTCAGCAAGAGTAAACGTTCATGTTAATCAATCATACACAAAAAACAGAATAACAGTGTCAAATTTGTTAGTTAACATTTTCATGGTACAATAATTTAAGGTAATCCCGAAAATCATGAGCAGTTTGGCAACACTGTTCGCCTATCGATAAAAATCTGAAAGCGATAAAAATCCGATAGCGTTAAAATCCGATAGCGATAAAAAACACTACTGCCATCTCTATCGCATCTATCTTTTTCCATTGTGCGTTTGCTGTGTTTTTGTTATTTGGGAAATTCGAAAGATACAAAATTGTAGAGTGAAATTAGCGCCACGGAGCGAGCGAGAAAGCGTGCGAGGAGGCCAGCGAGCAGCCACGCCCAGCCCGGCCAACCCGCCCACTTCCGCAGGACTCTGATACACACACACACATTCGCGGCACACACACACACACGCCCGCACCCACACAGCAGACAGCAGTAGGTCTCCGCGGGGAGAAAAAACAGCCTGCAGATGATGCTCTCGTCGATAAACAACTCCTTCGAGCAGGACACCCACGATGCGGACGCCAACTGCGACGGGCCGGACCTGGACTTCGTCTACGCGGACGTGGACGGTTACCAGAACGAAATCGCAGAGCTGTACAGCTACACGGAGTTCAGCGAGTTCCAGATGAACGTGAAGGCTTTCGAGGACCAGATGGAGCTGTACGATTTGCCGCCCAACTGGCAGAAGCAGGACCCGGCCGCCCAGCGCGGCATCGTGATGAAGCTGGTGGACCAGCTGGAGGTCTCCGACCGCGCCTTTCGTATGCAGGCCGCCCGCTGCATCCTCTATCTGGCGCAGGGCTGCTGGGCGGAGGTGCAGTCTGACGAGGAGCAGCACCAGATCACCCGGGACAATGTGCTCGTGCTGCACAAGCTGGGCGTCTTCGCCTCCTTCATCGACCTGCTCAACATGGAGATCGAGAGCGCCTGCTCGCCGGACATAGTGGCCGTTAAGATCACTAATGTGACGCTGGTGGACTCGACGGACATTAGGGTGATCCTGTCCGTGCTGTACATCATCACAGAGACAATCCGGGACGAGCGAGAGCGAGGCAGTGAGGATTACAAGGAGCTGGCCGAGTCCTTTGTGCAGGACATCAACTCGCCGCTGCCCGACGGCGAGCTGTTGGCAGTCAAGCTGCTGGGCATGATCACACGCTTCTGCAGCGGGGCTGCACCCCAGTTTCCCATGAAGAAGGTTGTCCTGCTGCTGTGGAAGGTCTCGCTGCTTGGGCTGGGCGGCATGGATGTCCTCAAGAATCTCAAGAACGAATACCGGCTGAAGGTGGGCTTGGAACCGATCACCGAGGACACACTGGAGGTCACCAAGTGCATGCGAGCGAGCTCTCCGCCGGCCACGGCCACCGATATACTGGAGAACCAGTATCCCAAGAGGAATTTCAAGTGAGTAAAAGTTTGGGGTGTCCTTTTCAGGTTAGATTTACATCCTTCCCCTCCGCAGACGCTCCCTGATGAAGCAGCGTTTTCTAGACGAGCCGGAACAGATCGACATGGAGATGAGTGGCAACGAGGGTCAGAACAATGCCAACAATGGCAGCGGAAATGGCGGCGGCAGTGGCAACGGCGAGGAGGAGCTCTCGCAATACTATCGGCCCTACGATGACCCCTCCTCGTCGGCCTCCTCCACCACCTCGACGGCCAATCCCAATAACCAGCCCAGTTCCACACAAGCCCCGGCTGCCGTGCCGCCAATACAGATAACCGCTCGCCTGCCCTGGACGCCCAAGGTGCGGCAGAAGGACATTGACCAGTTCCTGGACATTTCGAGGAACAAGTTCATTGGGTACTCGCTGATCGGGGACCACGAGAGTCTGGCTGGACTGCCGCAGCCCATTCACGAGGGCTTCAAGACGCTGCAGCGGCACATGTACTTGAGCCTGGCCGATGTGCAGATCAAGAAGGAGGAGGACATAGCCAGAAACCCGATTTCTACACACGAGGACGAGATCAAGTTGACGCCGGCCGAGGTGCTGTACCAGGCCATCCTGCCCAACCTACCCCAATATATGATTGCTTTGCTCAAGGTCCTGCTGGCGGCTTCGCCCACCTCCAAGTCCAAGACGGAGAGCATCAACATAATGGCCGATGTGCTGCCCAAGAAGATGCCGCTGACGGCCACACAGTCCACGAAGCTAACAGTGGACATGGGCCGGCACAAGGAGATCATCGTGAAGGCTGTGTCGGCCATTATTTTGCTCTACCTGAAGCACTTCAAGATTAACCACGTCTACCAGTTTGAGTTCATGTCCCAGCACCTAGTCTTTGCCAACTGCATCCCGCTAGTCCTCAAGTTCTTTAACCAAACAATCACCGAATACGTGAACACCAAGAACTCCATTCCCCTGCTGGACTTTCCCTCCTGCGTCATTGGCGAGCAGCCGGATTTGAGCGGCGACAGCTTCGTTTACGGCGGAGAGATGTCTGACAAGCCGTACTCCTGGCGGAACGTCTTCTCCTGCATCAACCTGCTGCGCATCCTCAACAAGCTGATCAAGTGGAAGCACTCGCGCGTCATGATGCTGGTGGTGTTCAAGTCAGCGCCGATCCTGAAGAAGACGCTCAAGGTGCGCCACGCCATGATGCAGCTGTACGTGCTGAAGCTGCTGAAGATGCAGACCAAGTACTTGGGTCGCCAGTGGCGGAAGTCGAACATGAAGACCATGAGTGCAATATACTCAAAGGTGCGGCATCGCCTGAACGACGACTGGGCCTTTGGCAACGACCTGGAGTCGCGTCCGTGGGACTTCCAGGCGGAGGAGTGCACGCTGCGGGCCTGCGTGGACAGGTTCAACCTGCGACGCTATCCGGAGGCCACACAGAAGTGCGGTAACAATGGCACTGCCGCCCAGAATGCGGAGAATGCCCAGCAATCGAACATGATGGCGGGCAACAATGGGATGGGCAACAACGGCTCCGACGTCAATGGTTATGGGAACAGTGGCGGAAACGGGGGCAACAACGGCGGTCACAGTCAGCAGCAGCAGCAGCAGCTCAACGATTACGGCGTGGAGGGTGGCTTTCCCAGCGACGAGATCCTTACACACTCGGACTTTGCCTTCTTTGGCCACTCGGGGTGGTGGGATCGCAAGGTGGAGCTGACGGACTACTTCAAGGCCAACTATGCGGTATGGCTGGAGGAGGAGGTCTACAACAGTCAGACCGACTGGGATGCCCTCTAATAACCCAGTGGGTGAGTTGGTCCCGCTCTGGGTTTGCTAGATGATTAATGATTTTTAATGACAGCTCCTGGAAGATGCTGCGCCTCTTATAAGCAAAAGTTATTACCATAATTGTAAGCATAATAAAGATACATTGATATAATCCATGTAGCCCGCCACAGAGGATGCGAAGAACTCACTGCAATTGGCAATAAATTGGCAAGCCACCACGGACTCTCAACCCCTTCACTAACTTAAAAACCAACCAACTAACTAACTAGCCTACAAGCCTGTATATTTACTATTATATTTTATAATTTCTGTATTTATTATTTGTGTTGTGGCTTCTAATGAGCGAAATAAACAAATTTAATAGTTCGAAAACAGCTCGGTTTTTGTTTATTGTTTATTTGTGTGTTTTGTTTCGCACAAGAAAAAAATATTTATATATTAGGTCATAGGTCTTAGCATTAGTTTTCAATTTTGGTATTTACAAGGTGCGCATACATATTTAAATATATCCATTATATAGTACAATTACTCTTTCCATTCCACATGCGACGTAATAGTAAACAATACAAGTGTGTAATAATAGTTAGCACAGCTAAATATATATATTTATATATATATATGAATTCCTGAACCGGGTTACTTCAATTCACAATCTTGGCTACACAGAGAGACCAAGTCACCACCCATAGTAACTACCTTAATGCGAAAAATAAAGACTAACTAATTGAAAGTTGTACATAATATATGTAGGCCTCGGGCGGGTCGATTTCATTTTGTACAGAAATGGGTAACCTTTCAATGACAATATGAGTACTCTTATTTTTTTAAGATGCCTCTGAAGCTAGCTCCAGGCTGTCTTTAAATTATTTTCACATTTCAAAGCACTAAGCATATTGTTATTTTTAAGGAAAATATTTTTAAATTTTTAAGGGACGAAAGTGGCTTATCCTTTATGAAGGTAAACCTTATGTTGTCAATGAAAAACCGTATTACCCTTTCAATTTTCTTACAATATAAAACCTACTGTACAAAGGAAACTAATTCAAATAATTTTTGAACCATTTAACATCAGTTTTTCGGAACTTTCTATATATAGGAATGCCCCAAAAATAGCTAGTGAATTGAAGTCCCTTGAAACAAGGCCCAAAATTAGCTTAATTTCAAGATTAATTTTATAAAGATTACAATTCAAAGCCATTTCTTGGGGAAATCCCTGCAAATCTACAATATATGTGGTACCTATTACTGCTCCATGGGACAGGCTGTGGGCAGCACCGTGTTGTTGTTACTCGGTCCCACATAGAGCATCCCGAAACGCTTCTGCTGCGGCGGACAGGCCACTGGAGCCGGTGCCGGGACCTCGCAACGCTCCTCAAAGTAGTGTACAATGCGCTGGAGCACAAACTTAAAGATCTTATCCTTGGCTATCTCGCCATTGAGGAATGTTATGTCCTTGCAGTCGCGATACTCGTTGAAGTTCTTCTCGTAGTGGGGCCAGACACACAGCTCAAAGTAGCCGGTGACGTCCGGCGGATCGTAGGTCCGCCTGCTGCGCCGCTCGAAGCACTTCTCATAGGGCAGATGAAAGTGATACTTGAGGTTGCACAGCGCCAGCAGCTCCGGCTGATTGAATATCATAAAGCCCTCGACCAGGAGGAAGTTGATCTTCTTGTCCCTCAGCTGGGCTGCTATCTGGGCATTGAGGCGCATTATGTGCGCTGCCTGCTGCTGCTGCTGATGGAGCTGTTGCTGCTGATGCTGTTGCTGCTGGGAATGATGGTGATGGTGGTGCCTCTGCTGATGATGCTGCTGATGGGGAGCATAGTGGTAGGCCCCTCCATTACCTTGCTTGTAGTAGTTCGCATTGTAGTTGTACTGCTGCTGGAACTGCAGAGCGTAGTGCTCGAAATTTGCATAGGTCACCAGTTGCTCCGGCGGCCCTTGGGCCACGTGGCGCCCCTTGATTATGTTCGCAATGTCGTTCAGCATCTTGGCCATGTCAAGCGAGGTGAGCAGCTCAAAGTTGATTGCGTTCAGCGATTCATTGCGCTGATGTCGCTTGTCCTCCATGGGCAGGAAGTAGTCATCCTGTGAGATCATCCGTACCTCGCCGATCGTGTACGGTGAGTTCCACAGCGGCGCTCCACTCAGCCCCTTGAAGTAGTCATGCAGGCTGTGGGCCAGCGTCGTCTTGCCGCCGCAAGTGACGCCCGAGATTCCAATTACCAGCCACTGCGGCATGTTGCTATCGACTGATTTCCCTGCTATTGCTGCTGCTCTTCCCTGTTTGTCAGCGGAATCGTAGGCACGTCTGCCCGTCAATTGATAACCTTTGTCTTTAATCGCGCTTCACCTTCAGGTTCCAGATGTGGTAGAAGGAGAACGCGGCGATGCCGCCGAGGAAGATCACCCCGAATACAGTGGGCACTATGAAGGCGTATTTCAGCGGTGGGAAGAAGAGCCGAATGGGATTACCTGTTTGGAGACAACGAAAAGGTACTGTGAGTTTCAGATAGGATTAAAACTATAGATTACTATGAAACTATCTTAAGAGATGCCCATTAAGACATTTAAAGTATATTAAAAAAGGTGGGTATACACAAAACAGATTTCTAGAGTTCTGATCTGGGTGAATGTTTCTTCCTAATATTAATATCAAATTCTAAACGAACGTTTGTTTCTCTTTGTGTACCAAATGCATTTTATTTATAGGGTGTTTCTTACAGATTAGATTTTGTATTTTAAAGCCGGTTATTAAAAGACAACAAATTAGATTGGTCACGGAATGAAGTTCACAATTCATTTTGACAAAATATCTACATGTTTAAGAGTTATTACCGCTGGTTGGGTAAAAGTTATTACTGAAAATGAGTAATACCTACACATGTAGAAATAAATGTTTAAGTGCTGATACACCCAAGCAAGGGATATCGCGCTTATGTGTCATTGGGCTATCTGAACTTTAGGAATTATGTACTGATATAATTCTAACTTAACTTTTCAACACACCTACATAGGTCAACGTGTAAGGGTGAGTACTATTTGAGTAAATATTTAAACAATAATATAAAAACTGCAAAGCAAAATATGACTAAAGTTTAAAATTACTTATTATCTTTGAATATTAACAAAAAAACCCCCCTAAAAATCCGCGCTGAATTTCAACAATTTTCGTAAGCGAGAAGCTGTACTTTGTGCATCACTGCTTGACCTTGAGCCTCTCTCGATACTCGGAGCCGCATTCCAGGTAAGCCCCGGCTTTGGGTTGCCGTTGCCACCTGCCCGGATCAGGGGGATCGCTTTCCGCCTCCGCCTTCCACACACACACACACATACACACATGCCATGCCGTGCCGTGACCAATTTGCGCTGCGGCGTCACTTTAATTACTGCACAAAAGCCGCCCAGATTATCCAATAAAACTAATAACAGCCGACCAGGAGGCGGAGGACTACCAACTCCAACTCACCTTCATCGATGAGCATAAAAGGCAGCACCGCCACCCAGAAGAAGTAGTAGAAAAACACGGCGATTGCGGCTATCAAAATGATTTTTCCGAGTTGCGCATTCGAAGCCATAAATAGCTCTGATATTCTCGGAAATTCTGTGGTTTATCGTTCTAAAACGACACGCGACCGGCGGCGATTTCAGCGGAAGACAGCTCATGGATTGGGCTCCCGATGCAGGCTGCTCTCCTCTGTCCCCAGTACGTCGATTCTTCACAAATCTTCGGTTCACGGATGGCTCCCGTGGCTGGTGTAAACAAAACAAACAAGTGCGTGCTCCAAAAAATCTCGGATCTCGGTTGGGAATAGAGTGACCGGATTCGATAGCGATGGAAAATACCTCACAGCAAGGGGTAGTTTATACCAGATATTTATCCTTGTGGTATTTTTTAAAATAAAAAACTACCTGTATATGGTCGATTATATTGATTTTTTAATTTCTTTTTTGACTATAGACCCTTTAATTTTATTTATAAACATAAAATATAATTCTAATAAATAAACCACTTAATAATAATAAATTTAAAAAATACCGCAACACTAAAAATACCGCACATCAGCTGTTCGGGCACACTCAAAACACAACCCCCGAATAAAAATAATAATAAACACAAAATTCGATGAGTGAAAAATGGTAAAGAAGGCGCAAGTGAAGCGGAGGCCATGGGTGAAGAACCTGTACTCGAACCGGGAATACCCGGACAACTACACGGACCCCAGTTTCCTCAAGGATCTGCGCACAAACCTGCATGTCCGGATTTACACGTATCGCGAAGCAGTAGCCGGCATCACGGTGCTCAACAACCAGATCTCCTGCATCACCGGCTTCCTGATACTCTACCAGCTACTGCTCAGCGACAGCGTCGCACCCACCACGATCCTGGTACCCAGTTGCGGGGTGACGGGGCTCGGCTACCTCTTCTACCGGGGCAGAAGTCTGAGCTGGGCTCTGCTGGGTGAGGACTCAAAGACCCTGGTCACGGTGGTTCTATTCGGGTACCTTTTCTCGCCAATGCTGCACACCCTAACGCAGGCCATCAGTACGGATACCATCTACACGATGACCTTCTTCGTCCTGCTGGCCAACCTGATGTTCAGTCACTATGGACTGGATGTGGCCATGGTCTCGAAGGTGGGACTCTCTAACACGAAAGATGTAATTTGTTTAATTAATCATTTTATTCCTAGGCAATTTCTCTGAATGCTGCCATATTTGGAGCCATTTGCCTGGCCTCCCGCCTGCCGAGTTCCTATCACGCCTTTGTGCTCCTCGTCGAGGCTGCCGTGTTTTTTGTACTGTATCCCATCATCACGGAGGCCAAGTGGCGGGCTCAATGCATGGTGCCCATCTTTAGTATATGCTGCTTGGCCCTGTACTGGATATCGCATCCTGTGCTCTACCTCTACGCCACAACCACGATCTTCATTAACTTTGTGTGCCCGCTGATATTCGTGTGGCAGCAGCGATTCAAGTTCAACATCCACGGGCCCTGGGATGAGGCGATCGTGGAGGAGAACACCGATGAGAACCTGGATGCGAACTTATAGCAGCAACTTCGCTTCTCAGAGCAGCTGCAGCCACCTGGCCAGTCAGGTGGCGGCGATGTCGGGGAGCACAGTCACTAATCACCAGTCTTTGCACGTTTTCTATGTTTTGTTAATAACTTGAGATTTCATTCCAAGCAATCTTATTGCATTTTATGTAGTTTCTTTAGTTTGTAGGTAGGCTTTTAATAAATTATTCTTTTTTTTAGGAAAATAAAGATAAAGAATTTCATGAATGCAAAAATTGCTTTAATAAAGAGTTGTTTTCTTAATCGCGAAAGCTAAAATTAGATTATAAACGAACAAAAAACAATTAAAATCAAAACCACCTGTCAAGATTCAATAAGACTGCTTTGACAATCTTAAATAAAGGAAAATATTAACAATGTTACGAATATAGAAACCCCAAAAGACAACAGTGGCTATTCAGTATTATGGGGATTTCTAAAACAAATTGGTTACATTTAGGATTTAATAATTTATCTTTATCGTGTTTAATTATTGAAAAAAAAACTTTAAAGATGTAAATTAATATAAGTTAACGAAGAAAACTAACATCCGGGATTCTAGAATTTAAGAATGCAAATATTTGCGGTCTTCTTACAGGGAATTATGATTTTAGCCAGTGAAGGAGTCATTTCCGAACCCATAAATCATATATATTCCTGTTCAGCATAAACAGGCGAGTCTTTCTAGACATGTTTGCAAAAATAACAAAATTTCACATATTTTTCAAAATTTGATAAGGGGTTACATCGTTAAAATTGCCAAAATATGAAAAAATTTGGATTCCTTAAAATTTAAAATTCAGTATGAAGATTTGTTAACCTCCTAAAAACTATCACAGAAATGCTTTCAAATTGAATTTGATGCCTCTTTGACTTAGTTATAATATTTTTAAGCTTTTATTTTTCCAAGAATTATTATATAAAAGGATGAATTAATATTTAAATATTTATACCCCTTTGAAGGTATTATACGTTTGGTCAGAAGCATTTTTGGCTTAGTTATTACTTTTATAATATCCTTCTTAATTAAAAATCGCAAGGGTATAACAACTTAGAAGTGCCGAAGTTGTTTCCCTTTTTGTTAAAATTTTAAATAAATGAGACATTTTTTTAAAATTTTGTAATAAATATTTTGTCAGTCCCTTTGATATAAACATTTTATTTTCTCAAGAACTGTCCGATACAGCAAATATCTCTCTAGGATTCCCCAAGTTGCAAAATTCCCCTGAGCGTGTCCAGAGTTAGCAATAAGCTACACCGCAAGACGTGATGAGATCTCAAAAGCACACGCAACTGCATTAATATATATAAATATATATTGTAAGTTTTTGATGCATCAAATAGTTCAATTTATTTAAATATCGTGATTAAGTAGGATTAGGTTCTGGTCCAAATTCAGTGGGTAATTATTCATGTCCTTCCCTAGCATCCTTCGCACCAGCACTGGAGGCGAGCGCTGCAGTGTCCACTGACCCGGCCTCCTCCTTCCTCCCGGCAAACGCGTCGGCAGGTCTCATTGTCCCAAACGGCGCAGGGACCACGATATCTGCCAGAGAGGCAATCGGCCTCGGCCTCGTTGGCTCCCAGGACGACCAGCATCAGGACGGCGATAAGGACGAACAAGTACTTGATCTGCATCATTATTCGTAAGTAATGTTTATATTCAACGACTCGGAGTTGATAGTGAAATCAGATCCATTACAGATCTCTTATATAGGGTTGGATCTGTAGATTTTTTCACTGCCAGCATTGATGAAATTTTAGGCCGATATTAATAGCCGCCCTTTTGATGGCTAAAACAGATGATGAACTGATGTTTTCTTAAGAATTCAACCTCGAAAATACAATAAATAAAAATACAATACATTTAGTTCTTATTTATCACAACAACATTTTATTTGTACTGTTTATTTTGTGAATTTTAAATGAAACGAGAAAGGGTTAACGGTGAAGGTGAAATGCCCTAGCAGCTTTAGTATGCTTCAGTTTTGAACTAGATCTTGAGATGATTACATTTAAGATGTCACAAAAAAATGAACCTAAGAGTATATTTACAGGTACTTTTTCATTTAAACGTCCGGCTTGTAAGTTGTTAGTGTAACGACTTTGTATTTCCGATTAATATTGCTGATTGATTAGCGATCACTGTAAAAAACCCTAGATAATTTCCAACTAATAGGCTTTCAAGCATTTTTAATGCACTTAAATACTTATCGAGGCCTAATTAAATGTTGGATAATTTTAGAGACAAACAAAATTAAAGCTCTTACTCATCATCACAGAAACAAATAACAATTAAAGACGCACTGGCATGTTTAAAATCTTAAATGCTCGACTTATTCTAGTAGAGATAAATGCAAGCAATTTTATTAATTGGAGAACAGCATATCGTAGGTCTTGGAATTCCCTGGCACTATAAAAGCTATAGTAATTTAGTTGTCTCGCTCATAAATAAGTATTATTAAATATAATATTTATTTATTTACTAATTTACAGCAACATAATACTTCACTTCAAAATGGGCTCAGCAAATAAGTAGTTTAAACTATTATTTTTTGTTTCATCTAGTATAGCTTTAGATAGTTTTTGCGCTTTTGTTAAATCAGTATATCAAAAAATAAGTTCGCATTTTGGCACTAACTGGTTTGCCATTCGCAGTTTAAATACATATGGGTTGTTTTGATCTAACAAAACAATTAAAGATAGTTAACACCATCGGGTGGGCATAGTTTATGAGCTCTGGTTGTTTACCCAATTAGTTTACTTCAATAGTTTACCACCACAACAGCTATCTCAATAAATCCCCCCTTTGTGGCTAAAGATAACGAATCATCTTATCAATATTTGCTTAAATTTTTGAAGCGTCGGATTTTCTGTAATGTGTGAATGGGTAGTTAAATATATATTAATAAATTAAATAAACAGATCAAGTCCGGTAGTATTCGTTTTCGTATTAATTCCTTAACTGTAATGAAAACATTATTTGGTAAAATAAAGCACAAAATAATATTAACAATTATGGTCAGAAAGTCAAGATTTCTGAAGAATATATCTTATTAAAAATGTATCTGACTGTAATTATATACCTATTACCCATGAACATGTAATAAAAGATGAGCAAAAGACACGATGGAGCTCGTAATTCCTGTCCGAAATCCGTAAACTAAATTTTTTTGTATTCATTACACCTTTATCTTCTATTTGAACCTAAAAAACCAAAAAGAAATCAAGACAAAAAAAAATAAATTTTGATTTGAAGGAAAAAATGCCATTTTCAGGTAATCAGTTTTCACTTCCCACCCTCTTAAAAAATAGTAATACTAGGTTTTATAACAACCATGTAGGTTCAAATAGAAGATAATTTCATGCTGATCATAATAAAATTTGATTCACTCTGATATGTTACGTAGTTTTTTGTGAATCGTGTCCATAGCATAGGTAAAAATGCACAAATTTAAAGCTGAGAAAAAGACGTTTAAAGTTTTTGATGCGCCCACGTTAACACTTGTATACCTTGCGTGCATACTTGATTTGAGGCACTTCAAGTTGGAATTCGATGTTGAAACTTACACAGTATATTCTTTAAGTCATAAACTATTTTTTAAACCAAAAAAAAAATTTGCCCAAAAAATTTTGGTTTACATGTATATCCCCCCTTAATTAAAAATCGCAAGGGTATAACAACTATGAAGTGCCGAAGTTGTTTCCCTTTTTGTTAAAATTTTAAATAAATGAGACATTTTTTTTAAATTTTGTAATAAATATTTTGTCAGTCACTTTGATATAAACAATTTATTTTCTCAAGAACTGTCCGATACAGCAAATATCTCTCTAGGATTCCCCAAGTTGCAAAATTCCCCTGAGCGTGTCCCGAGTTAGCAATAAGCTACACCGCAAGACGTGATGAGATCTCAAAAGCACACGCAACTGCATTAATATATATAAATATATATTGTAAGTTTTTGATGCATCAAATAGTTCAATTTATTTAAATATCGTGATTAAGTAGGATTAGGTTCTGGTCCAAATTCAGTGGGTAATTATTCATGTCCTTCCCTAGCATCCTTCGCACCAGCACTGGAGGCGAGCGCTGCAGTGTCCACTGACCCGGCCTCCTCCTTCCTCCCGGCAAACGCGTCGGCAGGTCTCATTGTCCCAAACGGCGCAGGGACCACGATATCTGCCAGAGAGGCAATCGGCCTCGGCCTCGTTGGCTCCCAGGACGACCAGCATCAGGACGGCGATAAGGGCGAACAAGTACTTGATCTGCATCATTATTTGATGGTAATGTTTATATTCGACGGCTCGAAGTTGATAATGAAATCAGATCCGTTACAGATCTCTTATATAGGGTTGGATCTGTAGATTTTTTCACTGCCAGCATTGATGAAATTTTAGGCCGATATTAATAGCCGCCCTTTTGATGGCTAAAACAGATGATGAACTGATGTTTTCTTAAGAATTCAAACTCGAAAATACAATAAATAAAAATACAATACATTTAGTTCTTATTTATCACAACAACATTTTATTTGTACTGTTTATTTTGTGAATTTTAAATGAAACGAGAAAGGGTTAACGGTGAAGGTGAAATGCCCTAGCAGCTTTAGTATGCTTCAGTTTTGAACTAGATCTTGAGATGATTACATTTAAGATGTCACAAAAAAATGAACCTAAGAGTATATTTACAGGTACTTTTTCATTTAAACGTCCGGCTTGTAAGTTGTTAGTGTAACGACTTTGTATTTCCGATTAATATTGCTGATTGATTAGCGATCACTGTAAAAAACCCTAGATAATTTCCAACTAATAGGCTTTCAAGCATTTTTAATGCACTTAAATACTTATCGAGGCCTAATTAAATGTTGGATAATTTTAGAGACAAACAAAATTAAAGCTCTTACTCATCATCACAGAAACAAATAACAATTAAAGACGCACTGGCATGTTTAAAATCTTAAATGCTCGACTTATTCTAGTAGAGATAAATGCAAGCAATTTTATTAATTGGAGAACAGCATATCGTAGGTCTTGGAATAATATAGTAATTTAGTTGTCTCGCTCATAAATAAGTATTATTAAATATAATATTTATTTATTTACTAATTTACAGCAACATAATACTTAACTTCAAAATGGGCTCAGCAAATAAGTAGTTTAAACTATTCTTTCCTTCATCTAGTATAGCTTTAAATATTTTTTGCGCTTTTGTTATATCACTATATCACAAAATAAGTTCGCATTTTGGCACTAACTGGTTTGCTATTCGCAGTTTAAATACATATGGGTTGTTTTGATCTAACAAAACAATTAAAGATAGTTAACACCATCGGGTGGGCATAGTTTATGAGCTCTGGTTGTTTACCCAATTAGTTTACTTCAATAGTTTACCACCACAACAGCTATCTCAATAAATCCCCCCTTTGTGGCTAAAGATAACGAATCATCTTATAAATATTTGCTCAAATTTTGAAGCGTCGGAGTTTCTGTAATGTGTGAATGGGTAGTTAAATATATAATAATAAATTAAATAAATAGATCAAGTCCGGTAGTATTTGTTTTCGTATTAATTCCTTAACTGTAATGAAAACATTATTTGGTAAAATAAAGCACAAAATAATATTAACAATTATGGTCAGAAAGTCAAGATTTCTGAAGAATATATCTTATTAAAAATGTATCTGACTGTAATTATATACCTATTACCCATGAACATGTAATAAAAGATGAGCAAAACAAACCAGTCACATAAAATTTAATATATATTTTAACTATATTTCTATTTTCGTTTTAAAGCTCTATTTCACGTGATGTTCTTTCCCTGAACGTGCTCCGAGAGTTCTAAATTAAATTAAACGTGACGGGAAATTATGTAGATCCCTGCAACGACGGCAGGTCTTACCAGACCTTATTTGCTCTAACTTTTAATGAATTATATTATAATTCCATGCCAGGTTTTCTTAATAAAAATCCCAATTCTTCCATTAATTCGTTTATTGGTAATCTCTTCAATAAAATATTTTGTTGTTGATACAACTATGATTATACAAATAACTGGAAGGTAGCTCAGCATCCTTCGCACCAGCACTGAAGCCGGGCGCTGCAGTGACCACTGACCCGGCCTCTTCCTTCCTCCTTGCAAACGCGTCGGCAGGTCTCATTGTCCCAGACGGCGCAGGGACCACGATATCTGCCAGACAGGCAATCGGCCTCGGCTTCGTTGGCTCCCAGGACGACCAGCATCAGGACGGCGACGAAGGCAAACAGAAACTTGATGTGCATCTTGTTGACAGTTTAGATATTCCGAAGAGAACGGCTGCTTTTCAGAACAGATAGCTTGTGACTTCTAGTGTCCAAAGTATTCAAAAGGGCGGCTTATATAGGGTCCGAATTTATTTGCTAACTATCATTATCGGTTAACGACGAAGTCGTGGTGAATACGAGATCAGAAGATGATATTTTATAGACTACTTGTTTTGTGAGGCATATTTTTGGGGGGATTACTTTACAGACGGCAGAATCAAGATACACCGCTAATACATATTTAGTATGACAACTTATTAGGTCTCGACTGTAGGGCAAAATATACCATATATGCCAATCTCTGTCATATGCCAAGTAGAAATATACAAAAATTTCTGTTTGATTAATTAAACACCAAGTTTTTGCTTCCACTAATAAGTGCGTATATATGTATATTTATTGTTGATTTTAATTTGCTGTTACAATTAAAGTGTCATATATCTTGTTGCAATTTCCACTTAGCCCATGTCCCGAAGAGTTGCACCCACGCCAAACATTAGCATCCTTCGCACCAGCAAGCCAGCCTAGGGCTGCAATGTCCATTGACTCGTCCTTCGTTCTTCGTCCTTTTTATATAGAATCTCGCCATTGAGGTGGAAATTGATAGCTTTCTTTAAATTAGTAATATTACTAACAGGTGAATGGCCTTTTCTTTATAAGATTGAGTTAAAAAAATAGTTTTTTAATGCTGCAATGATCATGTAAATATTTATTTTCAATTAATTTTAATACAGAACTCAAAATTTATGATCATGTTTTCAGAAATTAAATTCGTTTCAGCACTGCTCGCACCAACATTTTGAGCCGCCACTGCAATGTCCACTGACACGCCCCTCCTCAATGCAGAGGCGTCGGCACTTCTCTCCACTCCATGCCCAACAGGGTCCTTTGAAGGTTCCAGAAAGGCAGTCTCTGGCTTCGGCCACGTTGGTGTCCAGGACAGCGATTGTCATGATGGCGAGGAAAAGGCACAGAAACTTGAGCTGGATCATTTTTAAGAATACTTTCTGATGTAACTGCCGACTTGGTTGATTTACTAACTTGGTTTGGTGACGACTAAACTAGCAATGAAGCTATTTATAATTACCGGATCGCCACTCCTAACGGATGCTATAGGTTTATTCTTATCTTTAGAGAGGGTAAACTAAACAAGGAAACTAAAGTTCCGAGAAAATCGATAAGGAAAGCCACTATTTGATGTGACAATATCTAGTCAAAAGCTTTATTTATTTATTTAACACAATTAAATATACTAAGCCTGTTGAACTTAACGAGTAATAGCTAATAAGGCCTTCGACTAGGAACTTCCCATAAAAGTATACTGTGGATAGCTTCAAAGACCAATATGCGAATTTAGCAACCTATTAAAATTAACACTGAAAAGCTTTCAACTTTGATTTTGTCAAAAAATTATCATATACAAATATTAATAAATATTAATATAAATACTGCTTATATTCCAAGTCTTCTTGAGTGCGTAAGATGTCCAGTGATGTCCAAAGGTCAATTAAGCTGATTCAACTGCCAACAGCTTCTTCTCTTGTTCTATTTCAAAACGAGGAAACCATTTCAAAACTGTCTGATGAAGTTACCGACGGGTATTACATATATTTATATTAAAAAGATTGTAAAACAAGTATTCGACCGGTTCTTTCTACTAAATATTTCATAAAAAATTATTATCATTATCTTAAGATAAGGAAACACCGATTTGAAATCTTTTTTATAGCCCCAGAATGAGGTAAGGGATCCAATACAAAAGATCCGGGTGCCTATAAAATGAAGATATCGAGTGCTGTCAATATCAAACGAAGTTAATACCTCTACCAGGAGTCATCATCCTCAATTCAGAAAATATCAGTCAAATCAGTAAAAATGGTGCAGCTTAAGTTCCTGTGTCTCTTCCTTGCCATCATGACGATTGCCGTTCTGGACTCCAACATGGCTGAGGCAAACGATTGCCTGTCTGGAAAGTTTTCAGGACCCTGTTGGGCTTGGAGCGGAGAAGAGTGCCGACGCCTTTGCAAGGAAGAAGGACGTGTCAGTGGACATTGCAGTGCCAGCATGAAATGTTGGTGCGAAGGATGCTGAGTCGAATTCTATATTCTAAATTCAGTAATTAATAATTTACCCAAAATAATTAATTCTGTATTTAATATTTTAATCAAAATAATGAAAAGCTTCAAATATATATTTCAATAAATACTCACAATGTACCAACAAATATTAACAACGTTAAATTAGTACTTGTATTTTAATCCTCTCAAATGGTTTTGAGAATCCTCCCCCTAGAAAATAGTACAACGAATTCGGGCTGATTATGTTTGGCGTTTATTTACAAACATATACAGGTGAAAGTCAATGCAGATCATAAAATAATACATGATGTTTGCATTTAATGTATATTCATTATAAAGTTCGACGCGATTTAAATTAAATAGAAACTAGTTTCTCGCTTGTTTGTGTGGTAAAAACTCTTCTCTTTACATTATAGCATTAAAGACTACTAAGAATAGGGAACTATATGCCTAACCGTACACACACAATACCGCTATGTATTTTGTAAACTGTCTTTAGTCATTCGCTAATCCATAGTTAACTATTGAATACAATAATTTATTTATTCACGTAGGTATATAAACTTTCTCAAAATGTAAAAAACGTAGTACATATGTATTCTCTGTTGGTTGGGCTCACTTATCGACTTACAACTAATGCAATTAATTAACTACAATCGAAGGGGTTTAACATACTATATATAGTATATACGAATGACATCATCATTAACTGCATGTTTTCAATTAAACTTTGTGTTCTCCGCACTATCAGATAATTTTTTCTTTGCTTTTTTTGATTCTTCAATTAAACTAGCTCAGTGGTCAGCGACTTTGCTCTTCTATCCGTTCCATGCCCTCCCCATTTATGCCTAAAATTCCACTAAGAACAAATAATGGTACAAACACTAAAACACGAACGCTGCACCAGGGCAGACCAGTCTCCAGTCTTGCAGCACGCACAATTAAAACGTTAAACTAGGCTCCTTAATTAGAGGGCCACCTCGTCACCGTTGCGGGTGCTGAGGGGTGACACCTGCTCCTGATACTGCTGCTGCTGCTGTTCGGCCAGCAACTGCAGCTCTCTTCGCCGCTGAGCCGTCACCGACAGGCCGTCCATCGCGCTGCTGGAAGCCACTGGGTTGTTGGCGCTTGGCTCGTACCTTATATCACGTATTGATGTTGCTCCTGCTGTGGCGGCTTTTGTTGTTGCTGTTGCTGCTGCTGCGGTGGCAGTGGCTGCTGCGGTTGCTGTTTTGGTCGTGGCAAAGTGTACATGTTGTGGCGCCTGCTGTTGCTGTGGCTGTTGTCAGAACGAATCGCTCCTCCCCGCTGACCCCGCCGTCGCCGCTATCGAAGTGGTTGATGCTCCTGGTGTGGTAGTGGCGGCTGCAGTTCCTCCTCCTTGGTTTCCACTGGACGCGGTGACCTCTAGCAGGGAGCCCGCCTCTACATCGCCGGCCTGGCGGGCGGCATTACGCTGTCGGCACAAATATGGCGAGTTGGTGGGCGAGGGCAGTTGGTTCTGCAATACAGAGGTTAAGAAGTGATTCTTATTAGATTATATCAAAGCCTAAGCTCACCAATTTGTTGTTGTTCTGGCAGCAGGTGGCCTTGACACAACCCTCGTCCGTGGTGGGACAGTCCAGGGCGCAGCAATCGGAGCCGCTCATGTTGATGCTGGAGGTGCCATCGGACATGTTGCAGCCCTCGATCTCGCTGAACTCCGGCTGAATGGTGGTCGAATGAATGCCCTCGTTGTGGAAGAACTCCTTGACCTTCTCCGCAATCTTCATGTACTCCGACAGATTGCGGCAACTGCAAAGAAACAAAACAAAATATGATTTAGATCAAGCTTTCTTTTGAAATTTCCATAAAAACACACCGTATATGGGCCGAGGCAATGATGCGGTCTCCCGCCAGCTGCCACACATGGAACTCGTGCACGGCCAGCACTCCGTCGACCTTCTCGAGCAGACGCTTCTGTATGGCATCTACCTGAATGTGGGTGGGCACCGTCTGCAGCAGGATCAAAGCGGATTCGCGGAGCAGCGGCCACACGGAATGCAGAATCAGTACCACCAGGACGATGGACAGGGCGGGATCCATGTAGTAGCGGTACTTCCACTCGGTCTTCCACACAACCATCGCACTGATCACCACGATAATGCTGCCCAGGGCATCGCTCAGGACGTGCAGAAAGGCGCCGCGCATATTCATCTGGCCGGGATCGTGGCTATGGCCATGGCTGGACTTTTTCGCCGCCTGCTTCTCCTTTTGCTTCTCGTAGGCGTAATCATTCTGCTCATCATCGCCCTCGTCCATGTTGGCCAGTTCGGTGAGGCGGCTGTGGTTGCGGGTGAGACCGCCACCATGCGAGTGACCATGGTGACCGCCGTGCTCTGGAATAGATATTTCACAGGTTAAAGCAGGCTGTGTTTGTACATATTAATAGGTTTAATTTTACCGTAAAGCAGGCAGAGTCCAATTACATTCACCAGCAGGCCAAGGGCTCCCACGATGACCAGCAGCTCGGGCTCGTGAATCGGTTCCTCTTCAATGAATCTGGGAAATAATTATAAATACAGGTTTAATAAGATTTTTAGAAATATATACACTAGTTAGTTTATGAATAACAATATATAATTATAAACATTTTTTTAGGAAAAGCAAAGGGTTTTTAACATTTAATATTATTATATTAAATTTAACTATAAATTTAATATTTAATATATGTTTTTAAACAAAACACTAACGTTTTTATCTTTGATTTAGTATACTTGGTATACTTTTATCAATGAGAAAGTGCTTCCCATTCCACTAACTTCTGGACATCGCACCTCAGCTTTATCAGTAAACGTTTTATTTTATGGCTTTAGAAATTATCAGTAATTGTGGCTTTAATTATGGTTAAACACACAACAAAGTTTCTGCAATTATGTCATTCATTTTTATCAGTTTCAAAAATTTAAATGAAAGATTAAGCTATCATTAATCCGATTAGAAAGTTTGAAATTGTATTATTTTTTTTCTAGAAGTTGTTTAATTAAATAACAAAAGCTGGCTTTATCCAGTAAATAAAAGAGTATCAATATCAGTAGCTATTGGCAACAGATTCTCCTCGTCAAGTTTTTGGATATATATTCGCAAAATGCGCACGGAATGCAAATGAAAACCAAGTAAATAATTCACAAAACACATGGAGATATGCGGACAGAAAGGTGGCAGTAAAACGCGAACGTATTAAGTGATTCAAGAAAATTTAAACAAATCACGTTAACACATACGCCGCGCAGCCAAGGCGAGGAGCTTATTATTGCTTACTGCTCACAGATCATCGAGCAACTGGGTTTTGGGTGTGGATCGTTGATCCGTAATTACTCTCAATACAAGGAAAGCTGCTTTTTGCTACTGATCGAAAAGATTTTGGGAAGATTAAGTCATATAAATTATTTTAATTTGAAATGAGTAGGAATTCAAATTTATGTGGGAAGACTTTTAAAGGGGCATTGTTGTTTGCAAGTAAGACAAAGGCCCTTGATTTGTTTGTTTATTAAATTAAAGTCGCAACTTCTTTGAATTGTTTACTTTCTTAAGGAATATAAAGAGATGAGTGATATTGACATTATTTTGTTTGCTGAAGTTGCATTTACTTTGAGTTCTTTGGATTCTAGGCATTGGCTTTCAGCTGATTTCTTCAAAATAATGACTAATAAGAGATTGTTTATATAAGATAAACTGCAATTTTTGAAAGAGAGATAAAAATGCTTCCCTTTCAACACAATAATGAATACTTCCTAACATTTAATGAAGATTTTCAAGATTTTATATCAAGGAACACTCACCTCTTGCACGCCTCAATGGTGATGCTGAAGCACAGGGCCACCAGGAACACAGCGTTGACCAAGGCTCCAAGAACTTCGGCTCTGGCCCAGCCAAAGGTGTTCTTTGACCACTTTTTCGGCGACATCTGTCGAGATAAGAATATTTTATAACTCTTAATCAGTTTCTTTTTATGAAGTATGACATGAACTTACCTTCACAGACAGGAAGGATATGACCAGGGCGGCAATATCGCCCAGCATGTGGAAACTGTCCGCAACCAGAGCCATGGAATTGGTCACATAGCCCACGATGATTTCCACAAAGAAAAAGAAGGCCGTCAGCCACATCATCGAGAGCAGGCGGCATTTTTTGCCCGAGTACTTGGCCATTTTGGAGAAGCTGCAAAGAGAGTATAGAGTATATTGTATAACTATTATTAAAAGTAATTAAAATAACAAATTAATAACTTAAAATACTAAAAAAAGGGCCTTCAGAGCTCCATAAAGTTAGAGAAAAGCAATACAGTGGCTAACAATATATTTAAAGAGGAAAAACAACCGAATAACGACTGTTATTTTATTGCCACCACCCATAACGATATATTCCCCCAATATATTGGCCTTTCGAAATATCAATCAAAGTTTAGCTCTCTCAGTTCATTCAACCTATATTTTATGCAGTCAACAAATAGGCTGCAATGTGCCAACCTTTGAAATTGTTATTGCCGCACAGCACACAGCACACACAGTACACACACTGAAGACACTGGGAGACGACACGCACACCCAAACAAATTACCAACAAATTGAGTTTTTCAATTGTTTTTCATTGTTGCTGCTCGAACTGTTTTCCATTTAGTTCCATTTAGCCTTTTGTGATGGCAAAAGTTTTCCCCTTCGATGGAGGGATTTAATTGAATGCTATAGCGCCGGGGGAGAAGGGATTGGAAGCTATCAAAAAACCCAGTCTAAAGCGATCGCTTAGAGGCCTAAAACTAGCACGAAAAAGAGGGGCTTGGCTATTGTTTTTTATATTTTTAAGTCTCGGTTGAGTAAACGATATGGACAGCAACAAAAAGTATCTGAAGATAAAGGTTTCCATGAATCCTCAATATTTTCCAATGGATTTTAAATTTAAAGATGATGGTAATATATCTGTTTTCTATTAATTTGTAAACATCTTTTTGGATTAACACAACCAGGCAAAAGCAAAGCAATATATCACTTAACATCGGAATTGTATATTTTTTATGATTTTAAATATCCACTCAAAGTTATCCTTAAAAAACTAATATAATTTGTAGTTCTTTGCACTATAAAACTCACGCAAAGAACTGCATTTTATCCTGGAAGACTTAGACTGGGGGCCTGGGGCTCTTCCTTGTGACTGATCGGTTTGGTCGCTACTCTAGATCGTCGTTGGACTGCCAAGCATATTCCCTCGAATCAGCACCGGTGGCAAAACGCGATGTGTAAACAAAAACACAAAACATTTTCGACTGAATCGACGACGATGGCAATGTATCGGCATCGGGGCAAAAACAAAAACGTTGCCAGGCAAAAAATGTAGAGAGGGTATTGCAGGGGAAATTGTATTAAATACAGAAGGGTGACGGTTACTGTGACGTTTTCTTTTCCCTTTCCTGCTGCTGCTGCTGTTGTGGCGACGGCCAAGAAAACAATTTGCATTTTTTTGGGTAAAAACCCCGGCATAAGCACTAAACTATTACTCGTTGGCCAAGCAACCAAGCTAAGGGTACACTAGGGAACATGACTATTAGCATTAATATTATATTAATTTATTGTTGACTGTACAATTAGACATTTAAGCTATTAAATCCAATTGATTTTATAAACATTTTTAATGTTATACTACGAAAATAAAGTATACCTAGTATTTAAGGAGTCTCTAGATCTTTGGCCTGTTACCAGGCAGGGCTCACTGTCCCGGAATCCGCATCATCTCCAGCAGCATTCCCATTCCTACTAACAATGGCAACTAACTGATTGTGTAATCTCCGCGCGTTTTGCTGTTATCGCGGCTGGCACGGCCACTCCCCCGCAGCCACCGCCATCAGCCATAAATAATGCTCGTTTTAGAACGCTCGGCACACGAGACGCCAAAAAGCGCACAACTCTTCACTTTTTTTTTTTGCATTCTTTTGGATTTTTATCGGTTTGCCCAGAATTTCCTTTCTGCGTTTTTTTTCGGTGTGTACCGTGCGCAGTAAAGCCAATAAATGTGTACTTTATTCAGAATCTGGGCAACGGACCGATCTTCTGGCCCTACCATCTCCATCTTCACTGTCGCCTGCGAACAAGCACATATGACTAAACTAGATAAACACGGCCCGATAAGCCAACGGCGGCGGGCGGCTTTATTTGGCAGCCTGTGCGCAAAAAGCAAACAATTGCTTATCGGATGAACAGAGCTGGCTGCTGGCGAAGAGTAAGGTCTGAGAGCGAATCTGAAACCTGGATGAGCACCCCGAGACACAGGAGTCATCGTTGCATACAATGTGGGTCTGCTAGACTTGTCAGCCAGCCAAATATTTACTCAGAGGCATTAACTATTTGTATATTTTTTTTATTGCCTGCCAGGCGATGGGATTTCCCTGCAGTGCATTGAGCTGGATGTTTGAGGAAAACCAGTGGTTCAATTTCACGATTCAAATACCAGTCCAGGAAATGGCAACAAGTTGTTAAACAGAATGCGAAAATATCAAATATCGTTTAAGGTTCGGCGTAGAAGGTGGTTCTGCTTGAAGAAATTTACCTTAATCAAGGGAATAGCTTAGAAAAATATGGCTATACTTTAATGCAGTCTACCTAGCCTTGTAGTTATTTCTTAAAATGTAACTAACTTGGTTAATTAAACCAATTACCGGACTAGAGGGCACTGAAGAAGGTTTACTCAGAAAATTTCTTATATATTCTTATATATCTTCAAGAGAACAATCTATTTAAACAAGTGCAGTGCTCACCAAGCGAATTAATATAATATCAACAATGAGCTATGAAAGGAAATGAATCACAACTTACATGCACAGCGAATGGGTTTCGAAAAGAATGTTTAAATAATGGCAACAACTCGGTCTCGTATTTGAACTGCTCGTATCTGTATATCGCGGGGAGACCACACTGGAAACCTCGTCCGTTCACACTCGAATAGGCACTGTTTGAATAAATTCCCGGGCCTGATTTCCCCGCCCTGCCGAGTGTACCTGGACAGTATCGCGGTAGCGAGTACCTGCTCCTCGCACATGGCAGATAGGGCCAACACTGCTGCGAGCCAACAAAGTGGTCAACTGGCGAGGCTTAAAATGTGTCACTTGCAGCTGATAGCCGGCAGCCGATAGCCACCTTCGCCCCGTTGAGCTCTTAAGCCCTCCAGGCAGCCCCATGTCCGTCCCTGTTCGATGGGCGGACGTGCTCCGCATAAACGGACCAGGTTCCAAAAACTATGGCCGGGGCTATTGATGAAATCAGTGTCTCTCTTTCACGGCTTTTAGCTGACCAAATATTATGCCCTTTAGGAATGGTTGTGTCACAGCAGCCATTTGGGAGAATGGAGAGAAAATGCAACGGCTTTTAAAGGCTGTGATTAAAGGTGATTGAAGTGTTGGAATTCATCAAGAAAATACCAAAAGATTAAGCTTAATAATAACCCTAATTTTATAACACAAAGCACTGCCTAAAGGTGTTAGTTTAAGGCATATTTTCCTAGTGTCAAAAAATAAACAAAAGCCCTTGACTTTAAACAATTCCCTTTCGATATCATTTGTAATTAAATTTAACTTGACATTGGGCACTCGGCCTTGAAGCTATAAGTACGTGATGTGCTCTACAAAAATATATATAAATATAAAACAAAATATGTTAAATCAAGCAACAAAATAGAAAAAGGAATTGAAGAGGAAATTTTCAATATTTATTCTAGATTTCCGGCTTGGCTCTGGCTCAAGGATGCACCCCAAAAGTGGGTGGTGGCAAATAGAACCGTAACTATATGGTAAATACATATATACCATATACAGTGCATTATATACTACTATTGCTCTATGAAGAGCACGTGACATGCGTGGCCTACGCAATTAATTCAGGCAATTTAACATGCAGCTCACACTCGATTGATTCAAAGTACGAATGCGATTGGGGATGGATGAGGAGGAGGAGGCGGTGGAGGTGGCTGTGGATGGGGATGTGGAGTAGCCATGTAAAACATATGCACTATCGACTGCTCGAAAACTGGGCTACAAATATTCTAGGTCAGGTGCTTTAATTGGCCTCTCCAGCTGGACGATGGTTTACTCTCCCAGAGAAAAGCGAGCTTTGTATGTGGGTTACTGAGCCAGGCGCAACCAGCATAAGCGATAAGAATTTTCGGCATGATAAGGAAAATCGATCGTTAATGTTGTACAAAAAAGTACTCGACAAACTCTTGCAGATAAGCTAAATGAATTGGGCGGGTTATTTATTGATCGGAAATGTGAAACAAGATTTATTAAGCAGGAATTGAAGTAATTTGAGATAATGCAAATCGTTAACAAGTTTTGAGTAAATTCAACTGAGGTACTAAGCACGATAATAACTGAATAACAATACGCATTAAGGTTTTTCGTGCCTAGCATTGATTTTCCTACTTATTTAGTTTATTTTATCTGTGTCAGGACAGGTCATAAATATTCAGAGATACTGATAAAGAAAGTCTCGCAAAATAGTTATAAAAAACAAATGTGGGTTGAGCTCTTTATGTATTTATATAACGATTTGCTGATATAATGGTTAGTTAGTTAAAATAAAAAAATATACCTAAACTCTATTGATTTATTTTTTTTGCGTTTAGTTAGTTACCCTTTTAGCTTCAGGGAACTTTTACATCATTCACGACATTTAAAAGCAGAATGGCAATCAAATAATTATTTTAATGGCAGAAATTGCAGTTGACCCACAAACGAGGGAGCAAACGAAAGAGAATCATTTGTTCTGTGCGACGCCAACGTGGCGACGATTAACCCGATTCGCTTTTTTCCCTTTTCTTTTCAGACCCCCGGGGAACGGAAAGGAACGGACGGAAAGCAGCCGGGAGTCCTACGGAAAAAAAGGCGTCGCAAAGAAAGGCAAAAGTAAGAGCCGGAATTGGAGGTGGGTTGGCTTTTACCGAGCACAAAAATAAAATAGGAAAAATGAAAAGAAGTGCATCTGGCTGGCAGAGGAGAGGTAAAAGCATTGCATGGATGTGTCAGCTAAAAAATACAGCCAGCAGCAATTGCCCCAATTTGCTAGGAGTGGCAGCGATAAACAAATAGCAAAATTCGCGATACTGACAAATCAAATTTCAATAGATACTACAATATATATAAATGCAACTGGGGTATGTAAAAGCCCTTGCTTTTAGAG